TTAACGGGTACAGTGGAGAAAATGTAACTTTGACATATAATCGATTATGAAATTTGATAAACGATAATCGAAATACTAAATTCCTAATGACAATAATCAATTATTTCGATCGTTTTACCCAGCCATGTATGTACTTGTATCATGTAGACGCCATAACACTCCTCTCATCAATTGTTTTTTGTGCAGATTTGTACAATAAAAGAATGGTTTCCTTGTTATTTCTTCCTCACTTTTGCATCAAGTTTGGTTCTTGATCTATGATTTTTTAATGTCTTCACATTTTAGTGTGTGAAATATGTTTATGCAACAAAGCTGAGGTGTATTGCGAAGATTGTGATAATAAAATCTTATGCATCACCTGTGACGTAAGATGGCATCAACACCCCAGACGTCAACATGACCAGACGAAACGGAAGAAGTTTGACAGTAATTTTGTGACCAGATCTCAAACAAGGATTACCCATCAGGGGCCTTATGGAGTTTCAGAGGTGATAAAAAGGTGAATATTTCTACTATTGTCTGAGCAAAGTAAAATGTTTTTTGAATTGTAAGAAGAATTGGAATGAAATGAATGGAGTTTTACTTCCTACTTTTCTGTACCATCTGGGCTAATGAAGATGGGCAACGCCATGCAGGGTGCAATGAGGGAAATTTTGCCAAGCGGCATGAGCCTGCTCTTTTTTGACTTCCAACTGATGAGGGATCTTTAAAGTGCACACTCAGCCTCGGTTTATGGTCCCATCTGAACGACTAGACACTTTTTCTATGTCAGCCCCTCTTACCTGTATCATTGACAGGGGAAAACCTGGTTGAAAAAATATATAGAAAAAATTCAAAAAACTTTGCTCAGGCAATAACATTTTTATTTTGTTTATGAAAATATTGAATCTATATTGCATTCATTTTTGTGTGGGACATTTTGCATTTTTTTGTAGGTTGGCAAATTGGATTTGAATGAAATAAACGCCTAATTGTAGAGAAATATGTCTCCTACGTATTCTGAAGGTTTCAACAAAAAATATCTAGCCATTATAAAGCTAAACTCCAAAACTAGGTCATGCTGCTTGCTTAACAATTAGTACTCTCCATTTTTAATTAACCCTAATCAACCAATTCAGTTTGATCAAGAAGATAAATTGGGCTTGTTCCACAGAATAAAACAAAATTGATTCAGGACGGAAGAAAAATCAAGACCCACTGCAGTTTTGGTTTTATATTGATTCTAGAATGTAATCGAGGACAACATGTGGTGACATGCATACCATGATCTGCAATAACATGATCCACATTCTTATCCAATAGACCTTATTCATGCTTCGGCCATATTGGATTCAGAATGAGGCTCATAATGCAAACAAACAAATGTAACAGCGTGTCACTGTATTAAAATCACCACCTTGATGTCTTTAAAGCCTCCTGCTAACTCAAAACTAATAACATTTTACAAGATTAAATTTGGAATTGATTTAGCTACTTAATAATTCTTTCATGTGGAATTTACCTCCACTAATTTCTGAGACAAGGCAGTTTTAAGCTTTTTTTTTTTCACTGTTGACTAGTGATTTCAGATAGGTTATTCATTTATCAAGGGATGATGTTATTAATGAACCTCGCTTTCAGTGTCTCAAGAATGAGGCAGACACCAGAAGTTTTGCCAACTTTGGCTTTTGCCATGGTGAAAATTCTCAAATACTTGTAAAAACCTAATGTTTGATAGTAAAAAACTTGATGTTTTCATTGTAGGAAACCCAATCAACAGAGCATCCCAGTGGCAAACCCTCAACAGGTAAAGATCTTTACGAATTTTTCTCTTGACTACAGAGACTTCTCTAGTAGATCAACTTTCTGTCTTCATAAGACAATTTAACGAGTTGGATGTTTCAGATAAATCCTCTACCATTGAATTCTGTAATAGTTATTATTTTACTTCAGGACACATATTTTGAATCTTCTATGAAGACAGAGTCTGATACAGATCCTTCCAATAAATCAACGCCTCAGGCATTTTTAAGAGATAGCGATTATTTTGAAGAAAAACTGAGAAGACACCAGCATAAAATAAAAAGTTACAGTGAACAGTCAACTAAGTACAAGCCTGTGAAATTTTCAATTAATTCAGTTAAACGTGACAGAAGCTTCAGTAGGGATGATATTTCCTACCCGCCAGAGTTAAAAGATTCACCAGTGTCGTCTGCTACTATGAACATATCGCCAATGGTCACTGGATTTGAAAATAACAACACAGCGTATGCTAGTCCTAATACACCTCTGAACATACCGCCAATGGTTACTGGATTTGAAGATAACAACACAGTGTCTGCTAGTCCTAATACACCTCTGAACATACCGCCAATGGTTACTGGATTTGAAGATAACAACACAGTGTCTGCTAGTCCTAATACACCTCTGAACATACCGCCGATGGTTACCAGATTTGAAAATGACAACAAAGCGTCTGCTGGTTCTAATATGACCATGAACATATCACCAATGGTTACGAGATCTGATACCAATGTCACACCTTATCAGGGGAAATCAAAGCTGTTAGCGAAAATTGTTACATTACCGGATATAAACTTTCGTAAATCTAAATGTGAGATCCATATTTTAACAGCCGAAAAGGAGATCTCAGAATTGGACCAAAATCTCAATAAGATTCTTTCCCAAGACGATCAATTTTTACAAAATGATCAGTTTGTCACTCTTACTAAAAAAAAAAGCATTTTAATTCGAGAAAAAAAGTCATTGGAAGACTATATAAAGGATCTTGATTCTTCAATGGACACCAGTGATACTCTATCCCCAACAGTGAAAACCAAGCAAGAAGTTCCAATTGAGCAAATGCATCAGAATGAAGCATTGATTGACGATGACATCCAAAATGCAAATTGGGTTTGTGCACACTGCACATATATAAATGTACCCCAAATTGGTGTCTGCTGTATGTGCCACAAAACAAATGACCAGTCTCCTCTATCCACTTCTAAGAAAGTAGATGAAGCAACAGCTAATCCAGATACTTTAAAGAATGTGGGTAAAAAATTTAACGACTTGCAAGATCAAGTGAGTATCAAGAGTTTTTTTTGCATAAACAAACAAACATAGGGAAATTAAGGGAAACTGCAAGTACAATTTGCAATGAGAGAAAAATTTGTAAAACCAACAACCTTGAGCCTACTATTTTGGGAATTTCTGTCATACATGTGAAATCTACCGATTTAAGATTTAAGTGCTTACATGGCATTGGTTTATGGTAACATCTGAATAACTAGAAATGTTTCCATGACAACCTTCTTACTGCATCACAGAAGATACTGTCTAAGCTCGAATGCAAGGATCGAACTCCTGTACCTAAGGTTAGCCAGCAAGGTTAACTCACTGAGTCATTATAAATGATGAAACAGTTTTCAATGCTTCATTTTTGATGATTTCAAACAAGATTTCTTGAAATCACACAACAAGCTCTGAATACAAAACCTTTAAAGGAATACATTCCCCTTATTTTGACCAATCATACTTTAGTCTCAGAAATCAAAATATTTAAGCTAAGTCAACTAGTAATAGTGTTCACAGCTGACCGTCGAAATTTGAGCTTTCAAATCCATATGTGTCCGGAATTATCTGTGTTTGAAAGTGAAAAAGAGGAAATGTCTTTTTTTGAGACACTGCTATACATGGAAAAGATATCTAAAGAAATTTCTAGTTAGAGATATATTTGAAGGAATTATGTGATGTTGGTACATGTTGAATACAGTACGGGTACTTCTGAAAACTATTTATGTCATACTCAAGACTCAAATCAACGCTCAAAAAGGGCGCATTTGTCACTTTAAAAGTTGCAGTTTTGATGAAAACTTTAAAAAAGAATAGACAAAATATTTTGAAAGTCACTATAGATATGGTACCCAATTAATTTTTGTTTGTTTACATTAGGTGTATTTGGAGAAGAAAGCAGCTCATCGCCTTTACAATGAACAGTTACAAAAATCAGACGTTGGTTCTAATTTGGTTCAGACCACAAACGATTCCAGTATCCACTCTACTACACAGTCGGACTCTTCAGCTTTAAAGTCTGCCCATGACAATATTATTAAAGATAATTTGAGTAGCATTGATATACATGCATCATTTTCACTATTAAACGAAGTGATGCAGGATATAGATCAACAACATCCATTAAGATATAACGCTGTGATGCAGGATAGAGATCAACAAGATCCATTAAGATATAACGCTGTGATGCAGGATAGAGATCAACAAGATCCATTAAGATATAACGCTGTGATGCAGGATAGAGATCAACAAGATCCATTAAGATATAACGCTGTGATGCAGGATAGAGATCAAAGAGATCCAGTAACATATGATGATGTGATGCAAAATAGAGGTAAAAGAAATCAATTAAGATATGATGATGTGATGCAGTATAAAGATAAAAAAGATCCAGTGGCAACAGCATGTTTTCAAGAAATCATGAAGATTAATTCTGAAATGAAGGTTCAAAATGAAATCAGAGCAAATGGACAGAAGCTGTTCGAGATCGTTAAGGTATAATTTTATTGTTAATTTTTTTGTTTTGAATTCACCTTGAAAAAGAAGCAACCAACCTGTAGAGATTGCAAAAGATCCATAACAGGCAATTTTCATAGAGAAGGAGTCGGACCCAATATGGTTTGAAGTCTTTCCTTGACATAGGTGGGTGAAGTCTTTCTTTGACATAGGTAGGGTGTAATCTTTCCTTGACATATGTGGTGTGAAGTCTTTTCTTGACATTATGTGGTGTAAAGTCTTTTCTTGACATAGGTGGGTGAAGTCTTTCCTTGACATAGCTGGGGTGAAGTCTTTCCTTGACATAGTTGAGGTGAAGTCTTTCCTTGACATATGTGAGGTGAAGTCTTTCCTTGACATATGTGAGGTGAAGTCTTTCCTTGACATAGGTGAGGTGAAGTCTTTCCTTGTTGACATAGGTGGGGTGAAGTCTTTCCTTGACATAGGTGAGGTGAAGTCTTTCCTTGACATATGTGAGGTGAAGTCTTTCCTTGACATATGTGAGGTGAAGTCTTTCCTTGACATAGGTGAGGTGAAGTCTTTCCTTGACATAGGTGGGGTGAAGTCTTTCCTTGTTGACATAGGTGAGGTGAAGTCTTTACTTGACATAGATGGGGTGAAATCTTTTCTTGACATAGGTGAGATGAAGTCTTTCCTTGACATAGGTGGGGTGAAGCCTTTCCTTCACATAGGTGGGCTGAAGTCTTTTCTTGACAAAGGTGGGGTGTAATCTTTCCTTGACATATGTGGGGGTGAAGTCTTTCCTTGATGAAGCGTTGACATAAAGTTTTTTACTTTGACACAGGTTGCTTGAAGTCTTTCCTTGACAAAGATTGCATGTAGACTTTCGCCCTGGAGTCTTAAATTGACAAAGGTTGCATGGAATCTTTTCTTGACCATTGTTGCTTTGAGTCTTTCCTTGTCAAAGCTGGCATCTCCCTCTACATAGTGGGTTGGAGTCTTTCCTTGACAAAAGTTGCTTGGAGTCGTTCCTTGACAAAGGTGGTGTGGAGTCTTTCCTTGACACAGGTTGCTTGAAGTATTTCTTTGACAAAGGTTGCACGTACTCTTTCGCCCTTGAGTAAAGGTTGCATGGAATCTTTTCTTGACCATTATTGTGTTGAGTCTTTCCTTGTCAAAGCTTGAGTCTTTCCTTGACAAAGGTTGGTTGGAGTCTTTCCTTGACCATTGTTACATGAAGTCTTACCTTGACAAAGGTTGCTGAAATTTCAATATTTGTCAGAATTTTTTTTCTTCAGTTAGCAGACCAACGTGGTTATGATATTGAAGAAGTGGAAGTTGCACTAGCACAATTAGAGGATGACAGTTTACAAGTCATTGAATGGTTAGATCAAAACTGGCAAGAGTACATTGACAGTGTATTCGATAAGATTAGGCGTAGAACCACAAATCTGGTCCATAATACAGTTGGTGAATTGTCCATACCAGAAGTGAAAGATGCCTTAAAGAAATGTAAAGGGAATATAGATGATGCAGTTCAGGAGTGTATTACACACAGAAAACTTCTGGTAAGAATTTTTATTGAGTTGACGATCTGCATCAAAGATTGACATTAGGTGTTCTGGGATGGTAAGATGTCCTACATTCTTGGCAACAGCCACCTTGCTATTTTTGTTTGTGTTTGGTACAGCTCAAATTCAATAAAGTCTTTGGACTAGATCAAATCTAGTGCATATTTTATGTGGACTCACCAAAAGGGATGCAGAGTTTATAAACTCAATCGGAGAGTTGCACCAGGTGTTCAGAAAGTAATTTTTGATATTTAGTTGAATTCAATTTCAATACTGCCATTTGACTCTAGAGCTTAAAGCTAATAAGCAGAAGACATTGAGAGTAGTCTTATTCACCAGCAGAGTGGTCAGCCTATTGGTGTATAGGGCACCAAATAAACAATTTTAGCTATCTGGATTCTCCAAAAGGTATGCAAAATTGTCAAAGCCACAGATCATATTCATACACACATATATAACGGGTGTCCCTAAGTTCGACAGGTAGTATCTGAGCTGTTAGTTAACTGATCTCTTTCAAAATTCTCATAGATATACTTCAAGATGTCCTTGTCCATCTCTAAGAATACGGATGTCATCGAATAAAAATTGTACAAGTACTGCCCGGAACAAAATAGCCTGTCAAAAAATGCAATATCAAGGCAACTTACCTTTACCGAAGTTGGGACGTTTTGTTTTGAGACACCTGATATATATTTCTGTGAGCATTCAGTAATCAAAATATTTGTGATATTTTTTAGTATACTCAGTTTAATTTTGATGAAACCATTCCAAGAGAAGATGTATTGCAAACAATACTAGAGTGTAATGGTGATTCTGAACAAATAGAAACTAAACTGAATCAGATTGCACTTCAACCATTTATGGATCGGGTATGGGAAGATGAGGATGGCAGTGAATACTCAGATATATGTAACAGTGTATCAAACAGTGTTATAGAAAGACCTACATTTAAAGATGCTGTTAAAAATTCCGATTTAAATAAAGAGGTATGTAAATCCTGTATAATTTAAAGGGACATATAGACCTTTTTTTTGACCAGTCATACTTTAGTCCCAGAAACTGGAATTTTTTAGTTGAGCTAATCAGTAATAGTGTTCACAGCTCACAGTCAAAAGTTGAGCCTTCAACTCCATGTGTGTCCAGAATTATCTGCGTTAAAATGTTAAAATGACGACTTGTCAATTTAAGATACTCTGTGATATATAGAAAAGACATATATAGAAATAGATAGTGAGTTTGGAGTATTTTTAAAGGAATTATGTGATTTTCGAACGTTTCTAGTACTTCTGAAGATTATTTACATATATTCAAAAATGGCACTCTTGTCCCTTTAAAGAGGAACAGCTGTGTAAATATTTGATTCAACAGCAGATAGAGATCAATTTTAGTTCGTTTTATTTTCCTCATTGCCCATCTTCATTATCTCGTCTTCATTATCCCATCTTCATTATCCCAATCAATAGCAGAACATTAGGACCATTAACTTTTTTTCATTTTATTTCGCTCATTGCCCATCTTCATTATCCCATCTTTATTATCCCAATCTATAGCAGAACATAAGGACCTAAAGCTTCATTTCATTTTATTTCACTCATTGCCTATCTTCATTATCCCATCTTCATTATCCCAATCTATAGCAGAACATAAGGACCTAAAGCTTCATTTCATTTTATTTCACTCCTTGCCTATCTTCATTATCCCATCTTCATTATCCTAATCAATAGCAGAACATAAGGACCTAAAGCTTCATTTCATTTTATTTCACTCCTTGCCTATCTTCATTATCCCATCTTCATTATCCTAATCTATAGCAGAACATAAGGACCTAAAGCTTCATTTCATTTTATTTCACTCCTTGCCTATCTTCATTATCCCATCTTCATTATCCCAATCTATAGCAGAACATAAGGACCTAAAGCTTCATTTCATTTTATTTCAAGAGACGGACAAGAATGGTGTTCATGGAAGGCAAATTAAAAAGTTGGGGTAGAGCTGAAACTGTGATTAAGATTGTTGATGAAGAGTTAAGCAAGTCATGCTTAGAAATGAGTTCTTTAGAAGATGTTATTGAAGCATGTAGGAATTGTCTTGGATTTAAAACATCTTTAGGATACCTTCAGCAAGAATGTGAAATCTGTTATACTAAATTTCCAATGAATAAGGTAATTTCTTAAAAATTAATTCAGTTTTTGTGGTTGTTTACCTCTCTATTTGTCTCAATGTATGAAAACCATTTTCTGTATGACATGATGTGGCGTCGGAGATAGGCCATAATAAAATGGCGACATATAAGTGTTGGGATCTAACATCCTTCATAATATTTTATTCAGTTTTAAAAGGACATTCGCTTTTTTTGATGGTAGAAAATGTTTTTTGCTCAAATTTGTGAAAACTGTACACCAAAATCCAGAGAGATGTGCCCTTTAACGTATCTGAAAGCTGTAACTAAAAGAATCCAGGCTTTTATTTTTAAAAATAAATATATAAAAATATTTAAAAAATATTACGTAAGGTTTTAAAGTTAGTTATGTTTTTTTGAAGAATGTTAGAAAACTACTGTACGGATTTGAGTAAAATAAATGCCTTATTGTAGAAAATTGTGTCTTCTACATATTCTAAAGATTTCAACAAACAATATTGAGCTATTATGATGCCAAACACCAAAACTACGTCAAATTAATTAACATTTAGTAATCTCCGTTTTTAATTTTTTTTTTACCCCAAAACCTGGATTTCAAAATAAAGCTAAAATATCAGAAAACAAAAAAGAAGTGAAATTAAATGAAATTGATTGTAGTGGAACTCTTTTTTTCACATCTACTTCCATTTTCGTCGATTGTTGTTTTCATGAATTCTAATTTTTATTTAACAGATAACAAGTTTGAATATTTGCCAGTGCAAGTTGTGTATTGAATGCATGAAGCAACACTTTGAATATTGTGTTAAAGATATGAATGTAAAAAGATGGAGTTGTCCTGTCTGTAGTCGTCCAAATATGGCTGATTATGACACAGCTCAAAATTATTTAGCATTTCTAACTATCCTGGTAAGTATCTAAGGAAATGGCATTGTTGTATTCTATACTGTTTTAACACTATCAATGGTTGATTTATCTATTCTAACACTATGTTGTTTTAACACTGTGAATGGTTGATTTATCTATCCCAACACTATGTTGTTTTAACACTATCAATGGTTGATTTATCTATTCCAACACTATGTTGTTTTAACACTGTGAATGGTTGATTTATCTATCCCAACACTATGTTGTTTTAACACTATCAATGGTTGATTTATCTATTCCAACACTATGTTGTTTTAACATTATCAATGGTTGATTTATCTATTCCAACACTATGTTGTTTTAACACTATCAATGGTTGATTTATCTATTCCAACACTATGTTGTTTTAACATTATCAGTGGTTGATTTATCTATTCCAACACTATGTTGTTTTAACACTATCAATGGTTGATTTATCTATTCCAACACTTTGTTGTTTTAACACTATCAATGGTTGATTTATCTATTCCAACACTATGTTGTTTTAACACTATCAGTGGTTGATTTATCTATTCCAACACTATGTTGTTTTAACACTATCAATGGTTGATTTATCTATTCCAACACTATGTTGTTTTAACACTATCAATGGTTGATTTATCTATTCCAACACTATGTTGTTTTAACACTATCAATGGTTGATTTATCTATTCCAACACTATGTTGTTTTAACACTATCAATGGTTGATTTATCTATTCCAACACTATGTTGTTTTAACACTATCAATGGTTGATTTATCTATTCCAACACTATTTTGTTTTAACACTATCAATGGTTGATTTATCTATTCTAACACTATGTTGTTTTAACACTGTGAATGGTTGATTTATCTATCCCAACACTATGTTGTTTTAACACTATCAATGGTTGATTTATCTATTCCAACACTATGTTGTTTTAACACTGTGAATGGTTGATTTATCTATCCCAACACTATGTTGTTTTAACACTATCAATGGTTGATTTATCTATTCCAACACTATGTTGTTTTAACATTATCAATGGTTGATTTATCTATTCCAACACTATGTTGTTTTAACACTATCAATGGTTGATTTATCTATTCCAACACTATGTTGTTTTAACATTATCAATGGTTGATTTATCTATTCCAACACTATGTTGTTTTAACACTATCAATGGTTGATTTATCTATTCCAACACTTTGTTGTTTTAACACTATCAATGGTTGATTTATCTATTCCAACACTATGTTGTTTTAACACTATCAGTGGTTGATTTATCTATTCCAACACTATGTTGTTTTAACACTATCAATGGTTGATTTATCTATTCCAACACTATGTTGTTTTAACACTATCAATGGTTGATTTATCTATTCCAACACTTTGTTGTTTTAACACTATCAATGGTTGATTTATCTATTCCAACACTATGTTGTTTTAACACTATCAATGGTTGATTTATCTATTCCAACACTATGTTGTTTTAACATTATCAATGGTTGATTTATCTATTCCAACACTATTTTGTTTTAACACTGTCAATGGTTGATTTATCTATTCTAACACTATGTTGTTTTAACACTGTGAATGGTTGATTTATCTATCCCAACACTATGTTGTTTTAACACTATCAATGGTTGATTTATCTATTCCAACACTATGTTGTTTTAACACTATCAATGGTTGATTTATCTATTCCAACACTATGTTGTTTTAACACTATCAATGGTTGATTTATCTATTCCATCACTATGTTGTTTTAACATTATCAATGGTTGATTTATCTATTCCAACACTATGTTGCAGAGTTTTTAAATCTATTTAATTACCTCGTATATCTGCAAAATCCAGGTGTATTTGGAAAGATGAATATTTTTGTAGTTTAGTCATACCATCATTGTCTCTCTACACTATTTATGTCATGTCTCCGGTTGCATTAAAGTTTTATTTTGTAAAATTGATCTAGCATCTGCCATTTAAAACTGTGTGCGCAACCAAAGGTCACAGAGTCATGTGATACTAACAAAACTAAAGTGATGCCCAACACTAATTTACAATCATCTTAGAGGTAATTCAATATTATGCTAGAGAAAATGCAGGTTTGGAGGTGTGGAAAATCCCCTTTTTAGCAGGGTCTTTTTCTATTCTACTCCAGCTGACAACTGTCAAAATATCCATCAGAGGCTGGAATAGAGGCAGATGTTTCGGACTACTGAATGCCTTGTGTGATCGAATGCTATGTGTGATTTCAGATTAGAAATTATTGTGATGAGCCTACACAAGATTTATTTGATAAAAAAGCAAATCTGTGGAGTATACAACAAGATGCTAATTTTCGTTGGTGTGCTCACGTAAGTATAAAAAGTAAAAACTTTTATAATTGTCAGTTATTTTCTTGAAGAGAAGTCATCAAAATAAAAACCTTCTAAAATTTGATCAATATGAAAATTTATGCTAAGCAATATTCTGATTTGGGTTCATCTCTTGGGCAAGTTCAAACTTGATGATCTTTCGCTGAACGGTTTTTGAGTTATTGCCCTAGACTTTAGAAAAACGCCTCAAAAAAAATTTGTGAATACATTAGAGACCTCAGTTTCTTCCGCTGACCAATCGAATGTTAGTCTCAAAGCCAAATGTTAAAAAGATGATTCGTCTTTTCTTGATATTCCGCCAATTATAGAAAGACCTATAGAAATACATAATTTCTAGTTAGTGTTATTTTTAAAGAAATTATACGATTATCATTATTTCTAGTACTTCTGAAGATTTAGGACTTAAATCAACCCTCGAAAAAAGCGAATCTGTTATTTATATTAAATTTTTTGTTTTAAATAGTGTGAAACAGGATTCATCTATCAAGGGAACCAGCTGTGTATGACTTGTCCAAACTGTTACAAGAAAACTTGCTTTCGATGCAAGAAAGAGGTAAGAAAAGCCATTTTGCCACATTTCTTTACGTCTCCATTTTTTTTTGTATAGCACACTGGCAATTATAGAATTTTGCTCTCAGACGGTTAGTCTCCAAATTCTCATGTAACCTTGACTACATGTTAGGTAGAACAAGAACTTCCTACTTGACTGCAATAGTCACTATTCTTGTATCACCTAATGCAGCCATTTGATGAAACTCATCTTTACAATATCAAGCTATTACAAACTTCCTACTTATACCTTGACTACATGTGAGGTAGAACAAGAACTTCCTACTTGACTGCAATAGTCACTATTCTTGTATCACCGAATGCAGCCATTTGATGAAACTCATCTTTACAATATCAAGCTATTACGAACTTCCTACTTGACTGCAATAGTCACTATTCTTGTATCACCGAATGCAGCCATTTGATGAAACTCATCTTTACAATATCAAGCTATTACAAACTTCCTACTTATACCTTGACTACATGTGAGGTAGAACAAGAACTTCCTACTTGACTGCAATAGTCACTATTCTTGTATCACCGAATGCAGCCATTTGATGAAACTCATCTTTACAATATCAAGCTATTACAAACTTCCTACTTATACCTTGACTACATGTGAGGTAGAACAAGAACTTCCTACTTGACTGCAATAGTCACTATTCTTGTATCACCGAATGCAGCCATTTGATGAAACTCATCTTTACAATATCAAGCTATTACAAACTTCCTACTTATACCTTGACTACATGTGAGGTAGAACAAGAACTTCCTACTTGACTGCAATAGTCACTATTCTTGTATCACCGAATGCAGCCATTTGATGAAACTCATCTTTACAATATCAAGCTATTACGAACTTCCTACTTGACTGCAATAGTCACTATTCTTGTATCACCGAATGCAGCCATTTGATGAAACTCATCTTTACAATATCAAGCTATTACAAACTTCCTACTTATACCTTGACTACATGTGAGGTAGAACAAGAACTTCCTACTTGACTGCAATAGTCACTATTCTTGTATCACCGAATGCAGCCATTTGATGAAACTCATCTTTACAATATCAAGCTATTACGAACTTCCTACTTGACTGCAATAGTCACTATTCTTGTATCATGGAAATTTGTAGATTAAGAGATTTTATTTGATTGCAAATACAGCCAGAAAATCTGTGAATAAAAATGGTCACAGCCTTTCTGATAAGGACTCTGATTGGTTGTGTTCGTTGGCCTACAATCCAATCAAATCACTGCAATTCCATGATACAAGAATGATGACAATTGCTGTCAAGGTATAAATACGAAGTTTGTTATAGCTTGAATACGGGTAGAATAAGAATGAAATTATTACCATCACTTAAGTCCGACATTGTAAATTTATTTAAGATTATGCATGAAATTATGGAAATAATAAAGATTGGTGCAATCCTACTACCCAAAAAATCAGCCACAAAATTTGTTTAATGTGTATTAATTATGCTTTCTTTTTGCAAATCCTATATTGCAGTGGGAAATACAGCATGAAAATATAACTTGTGAAGAATTTGAACAATGGAAATACGACAATGACCCCAACAATCAGGCATTTGGTTTAGCCAATCATCTCAAGGAAAATGGCATTGGTAAGTCCTGAACTGCATGGCAAAAGATAATGTGTCACATACCCTGCTATCAAAGTGAATGGCATATGACATGGCATATTGAAACCTAATTTTTGGTTAGACTAACCCACAATTCTTTTTCTTTCCCCAAGATTTAAGTTTGACATAACGTGCATTGATTGGTTAAAAACAACATCATTGGGACAGACATTGATAGAAATCTATTTAGATTACAGTGTAGACTTAATATATCAGAAGACAAAAAAGATATGATATTGTATCTAATTTTAAAGGGATATGTGTGCCATTTTTTTTACCAATCATAGTCTCAGAAACAGAAATTTTTTAGCTATGCCAATCAGTAGTAGTGTTCACAGCTCACCGTCGAAATTAGAGCCTTCAAATCCATGTGGAACACTGCCATATACAGAAAAGACATGTATAGAAATAGAAAAAGAAATTCTTAGTTTGAGATATTTTTGAAGGAATTATGCAATTTTCGTACATTTCTAGTACCCCTAAAGAATACAAAAAAAAAAAATGGCACACCAATCCCTTTCAGGCCAGTTGGATATCTCTTATATGAAGTCATCTTAAAGGTACATGGTCCTCTAAGTATTTGCTTTACGAGCTGAATAATAGGATTTATTAAATTTTACATATTTAAATTTGTTGTTTTATGTTTTGTTTAAGATTGTCCGAGCTGTAAAATGAGATATTCGTTATCAAAAGGTGGATGTATGCATTTTACTTGTCCAGAGTGTAGTCATGAATTTTGTAGTGGGTGTTGTCAGCCATTTTACCATGAAAATGTATGTATTGTTTTCATAGTGATGTTAGCTATAAGTGCATTTTTTAATTAAAAATCAAGTAACTACCACTAATTTACCTTGTGACCAAGTCACTGTGACTAATTTACCTTGTGACCATGTCACTGTGACTAATTTAACTTGTGACCAAGTCACTGTGACTAATTTAACTTGTGACCATGTCACTGTGACTAATTTACCTTGTGACCATGTCACTGTGACTAATTTACCATGTGACCAATTTACTTGTGACCAATTATCTTGTCTAATTTAATTGGTCACAGTAGATTGGAAACAAGGTAATTTATTCATGGTAAATTGGTCACAAAATAGTTTACCTTGTGACTAATTTACCTTGTGACTGATTAACTCTGAATAAATTACCATGTGATCAATCAACTGTGACTAATTACCTTATGACTAAGTCACTGATACTAATTTACCTTATGACCAAGTCCATTTGACCAATTTACTTGTGGCCAATTAACTTGATTAATTTAATTGGTCACAGTAAATTGGAAATCTTGTAATTTATTCACAGTTAATTGGTCACAGGATAAATTACCTTATGACTAATTTACCTTGTGACCAATTTACTATGACTAATTTACCTTGTGACCAACTAACTGTGAATTACTTAACCTTGTGACCAATTAACTGTGAATTACTTAACCTTGTGACCAATGAAATATGAATAAATTACCTTGTGACCTATTTACTCTGAATAAGTTACCTTGTGACCTATTTACTGTGACTAATTTAGTCTGTGACAAATTTCTATGAATAATTCACCTTGTGACCAAGTTAAATTCGCGTAAATTCACCTTGTGACTAAGTAACTGTGAATAATTCACCTAAGTATTTTTTCCAGACCTGTCCTTTAGAATGTGTAGGTAAAGGATTACATTGCCATCATCCTAGAGATTGTTTCTTCTTTTTACGTGATGAAGAGCCTTCTACACTTCAAGAATTGCTTCAGGTAAATTAAAAAAAAAAAGAGTTTTCATTTTTTGAATGTAGAATTAGATGTTCCAAATATTTCTGAATATTTCTGGAACTCCTTAACTCATCACATGGGAGATAATATTGTTTGATCCTTCTATATATTTACCAATTATTTAATTTGGAAGTGGTATATAAGTCAGATAATGACCTCAAACTTGATTTTTACTCAGTTAAGAAAGCTCTCAATAAAAGAGGCCAGTGAAATACCATGCCCACATTTCATAAACAAAATAAAAGCGATCTGGAAATCCAATACATATTGCATTCTACCTGTTTCAATTTTTTCTTCATCAGATTTTGGTGGAAAGAAATAAAAAACCCCACTTCTCCAAGCATCTCTAGTTGCTAATCATGATATGTACCTAATTTGTACTAAATTCTTTACCTAATGGTTGAGCTTTACGGCTTTGTTATGTAATTATGTTGTAGATGCACGCAAAAAGTTTTAATACAGAAGTCAGTGAAAGTAGTTCTGGTTGTCCAGTAATGGAACAAAAAGAAAGAAGTCATTCGAGTAATTATGATGAAGCTTGTGGAAAAGAAGTAAAAGAAGGATGGGCTGGACTTTGTATGTAAGTATGTCAGTTGAAAAAAACAAAAGAGGCCGTATTCCGCAAAAACTTAACCAATCAGATAACTGGAAGTGTAAAGACTAACCTATACTTGATGTCCAATAGAAGATATTGACTGTCGTTCATTTGAGCTTCTAAGTCTGTCATGTCTGGCATATAGTCAAATCAACAGCCCTGACTGGAACAATAAAATCATTGAGGTCTAGGATTCGATAAGAAAGGTGACTATTGCAGGTATAAGCTGAAGGTCCTAATAGCTTGACGTGGTGAAGATTCCCCATCTTGGATTTTGTCCAAAAAAAGAAGTATTCTTTTGACTTTTTGGTGGACATTTTTTATTGGTAACTATGGCTACCATTGTGTAATGCGTGTTTTGCTTTCCCTCACGTTTGCAAATGACTTGTTTTTCAGTGATCACTACAAAGAATATTTAGTTGGCTTGATTAATAAACATAACTTAGATCCATTAAATGTCATACAAGCTGAGGAGAGATTGAAAATCATATTAAGACGCTTGAAAGTGATTGATGTTAGGAGAAAGCAAAATGAAAATAGAGATGCTTTCATAGCACGATTAAAGAAGGTTTGTATTGGATTACATACATAGAGTAGGTAGAATGGGACAGAGGGCCAAAGCTTTTGGCCTCGGGTCAAATATGACCACTGATCCAAGTGACCAAGTTCTATCCGATGAGAATGTTTCATGTTTTGTTGATGGTTACTTTGTTTGCCATCCGTGATCTGACAAAATTGTTGAGTACCATTAGTATCATTATAAGCCTTGCACCAATAATCTGTTCAAATAATTGTTATGAAACTCTTAAAATGGCTGACAAATTTTGGTTCTGAAGCTTTGACAGTGTCTGATGACTTATAATTGTATTTTGGAGTACTTAGCATGAGAGTTAAGGTACAATTAAAGGGACAGTGTCACTATCCATTTAACCAATCACACCTTAGTCTCAATCTCAGTCTGAATTCAAAGACATGTCACATATTGGACAGGTGGGCCATTGGTTGACCAATCATACTTTAGTCTCAGAAACGGGAATTTTTAACTAAGTTTATCAGTTATAGTGTTCAGAGTTCACCGTAGATATTTGACCATTCAAATCCATATGTGTTTAGAATTATATGCGTTTGCAAGTTAAAATGGCGACTCATCGTTTTTTTGAATTGTTTGAGTATTGTTTGTATTATTAGTAATGACTATTAAAAGCTATTATATATTTTCAGATTATTCAAGAAAAGGAACCATTGAAAAAACGTAGCTAATCAAAGAGATGAAAAATGCATTAACAAAATAGGGCGATAGAAGGCCTGGAGCATGTGGTCTGCCTGGAGCATGTGGTTGGCTTGTCATGCTTTTGTATACGTCCACATCTATCTATGTGGACGTATATTGTCGGCACCCCTGTCCGTCCGTCAACATTTGCTTGTAAACGCCCTAAAAACTAGATTTTTTGATGGAATCAAATGAAATTCGGTATGTGTATACATATTCATAAAACGAAGATCAAGTTCGAATTTAAGCTATTTTTGATCGTTAGAAGCAGTTATTGCCACTACCAAAAAATCTTGAATATTTACCAACCGCATGCCGTGGTGGGCGTATATGGCTGTGGTCCACTATCTTATAAGTTTCCTGGAGGCCAACCGTCTGCAGCTTTCTTCTAATGCGCTATAATGCAAACAGTGGCGGAGCAGCCCCGAAAGCAAGTTTTGCGGCAAAAATCTCATAACTAGGTTAGAAATTCGGGCAGTCTCAGATATTTCGTCCACCCCTCGAACGTAAACCTGGCTCCGCCACTGAATGCAAATATATTCTTTCAATTCAAGTCTTGGAAAAAATTTGTTCGTGCTCCTGAGGAATTTAATTAAGGATTTGAATTGACGATAATCAAGGATTAATTGCTCAATAAGGATGATGAAATTTGTATAATTGAAATTAGATATATTGTAAATACAAAAAACTGTATTCTAAAGATGAATAAAAGCATAGGAATAGATATTTACCCCCGATTTATGTATCATTCTTTTCATTAAGAGTCGTCAGACATCGCAAAGCTTTTGGTCACATACTGCATATCCTTGCTGTGGTTCCAGACAAGATATGCCTAAGCCTACTTGTGTTAAATTTTATATTATATAAGGCCATACCTATGTTTTACGGATCCTCCTACCACAATTTTCCAGAAATTCGAGGAAACAAATCAGATACGCCTAATATTTGATTTTTGAACAAATCATTATTGAGACAGTAGAAAAGTCCAGGTCAGTCCTATGTTTTTTGTAAGGTATCAGCGTAATATGTATATAGTAGAAGATAGTTACCGTGACGGTAAAGGAGACTCCCTCGGAAGTAACCAACGTATTGTTCTTCTTCTAGCACATCTCTGTTGATGTTGAAG